AACTCAAATTGTGGTTTGCTGTGGATATTTGAATACATGTTGATTTTGTAATGTGTTTAATGATGAACAACGTCATTGTGAAGCAACGGAATGTTAAATAGTGACTTCTGTATTGTGGCCATTGAAAAGCACAGCTGGATGTTTTGTTTACATCACTTCTCAAATTTTTTTATTTTTGTTACATTTCCTCCAGTACTGGTTTGCTTTTTGCAGGCATGAAGTATTATGTGCTTATTCTTCAACCATGTGATGCTTTGTGCTTATAATATTCTGTATCTGTTGTCTGTTTTAGTTGGGAAATCAGAGAGAAGATGCAGTGAGCCTAAACAGTGATCATTCAGCTCTGTCCAGCACAGTCTCTGCTGCAAGCACAGAAATAAACCATAAAGCCCAAGACAATTATAGAGGTAACATAACTATAACCTTAGATGACATAAAAGCAGTTCTAGCACCCATACTCCATGAAAGATCTCATGTTAGGGATCACTCCAACTTGGCTGTAGTCCCATTATTGAGAACAATCCCTTGTGTATGAACCCAAAACTGCCCCTACAGTGCAATGATGTGTATACTGTTATGACTGCACTAAGTAGTCATAGTGTGTCAGGTTCATGTGCTTTTTGTGCGTCTCTCATTTCTCTCTGTGCTGGGTTGTGTACCATTTGAGACTTGGCTCATGCAGATTAGTACGTTTATGGGTATCCTGCAACCTTTTTTGGGGGAGGGGGGGGTAGGGGGTGTTTGGGGGTATGTCACCAAAGCGTTTGTTGGCTTACGTTTTGTTTTACTGATTTTTTTTTTTTTTTGTGGAACAGCATTATCCGGTGGATTGTCAAGCCAGAGTATAATGGCTGCCCTTATAGAAGTAAAGTCGGAGCTTAAAGAAAAGGATGAAAATATTCATGACCAGGGCTCATCAGATGACATGAAATCAGATGATGAGGGATCACAGAATGAAATGAGAAGTTCTAGAGGGAGGGCAAGGTAACTAACACCTGCTCTAGCCATAAGGTAGACCAAGAAGTGCAAATGTAATATTGTCATTCCCAATTAAGTATGGTATTGCTACAATGGCCAAAGCGTGTTAATAAATATATATTGTTTATTTTTTTAACACTTTTAGGTTTTAAAATAGTATACAAATTTCTGCACAGTGACCTGTCGTTCAGCATTCGCTATACAGATGTAATCCTTACAATGAAATTAATATAACGAAATTACATTAAAGTGGTGGAATGATTACATAACCAAAATGTGTTTGTTTTTCATTAAACTGTTTTTAATTAACAAGGAGAACATAGTTCTGGCCTGCTTCTTGAAAAGCACATTGACACTTTAGGCAGATAAGTATCTTATATGGAAGATAAAGATGATTCAAACAGTTTCCCTTGTGGACTTGCAAACAACCATAGATGTGCTTAGGTTGTGAAGAGGAAAGCTTGCACAAGCTGCTGAGGCTCCCAGTAGGGTTATTAAGAAGACTGCCTGACTACAAGAAAACATAATTAATACATTGTAAATTCTATTAAAAATTTAAATTAGCATTCTCTGAAGTCACCATCTGGACGGGTGTAATGTTGCTTTGCGAATGTTGTTATTATGTACTCAGCTAGATGGTACAGAGAATGAAATAGTGGCCATTGATTTCTGATTAAAGTCATGTTTAACTGCTGTTCAAGATTTGTGTGTTACTGTGAAAAGTCATTTTGATTCCCCATAACTATATATATTTTTCACGTTTCACAGCAGTATTAATGAAGACGAGGACTTAAATCCAGAACAGAAGCTCGAGAGAGAAAAAGAGAGGCGAATGGCAAACAACGCAAGAGAGCGCTTGCGTGTTAGAGACATTAATGAAGCCTTTAAAGAGCTTGGGCGCATGTGCCAGTCACATCTAAAGAGTGAAAAACCACAGACGAAACTGCTAATTCTTCATCAGGCTGTAGCCGTTATTCTTAATCTAGAGCAGCAAGTCAGAGGTTAGTCCATTGTTACAGAGGCTTGTGGGAATTTGTAAAACTCTTGAGTTCATTTCAGTAGGCAATCGTGTGCAACAAACGTTCGTTTTCTAACATTCAGAACAATGAAAGATGCTGGTTGTGGATTGCATTGAATTCTCTGTTTAACTGACTAAACCAGACAGGTCTCTGCTAGGAGTTAGGGAAGGAACACACATTATAACACCTTGTTACATTCATAGAGGCAGCACTTAGTGATGAACAAATAGGTCTTTTGTAAGCAAGGCTTTCTGTTTATGCCTCCCTCACACTGGATGCATTGGATTGATATTAAAATGAAAAGTAATTAATGTAATCTTTAAGAAGCATGAAATGCAAGAGGCTCGACAGACTTTAGAGCAACCCCATTGCCTACCCTAACCCTATATCTTCTACCCTCTCCTGCCTATCGGCTATAATGTAGGTATACCACTCAGGGAAACAAATGTGTATAGTGCACTATGTACACCATTTTGTAAAAATGTGTAGAGACACGTGCAAATAGCTTCAGACGCAGCCTAATTTTCAGATGGTGCCGCTGTTTCAATGCCCATCATTCTTAGTGAGTGTTATGGACACCTTTTTAGGTTCATACCAGCGTTGTTTGAAATGAGGTCTTACACAATAGAAATAGTAGTTCTAAGAATGTCGCACCTATCCCTTCTCAGTCTTTTAGGGACAGTTGTCAGATGGCAGAAAAATCCCTTTATTGTAGAATAGATTATCATGACATTATTATTCTGTACTATTTCTCAGTTTTTTGTGCTTTTAGAATCTGTTTATTGAATTTTTGAGAACTGGGTTTTTTGTAAATTGTGGCATATGATGTTGAGTCATTTATCTTGCACACCATGGTTATTTACTATGGGGTTTGAATACCACACAGAAGTGTAATTTCAGAATCCAGTTTTGTGGCCAGCTAGTTGTAAACTTTGTATAAGATAATAGGAAAGATTTGCTGGTTTGTTCTCTTTAATCCTTCATTTCAAGAGTGAAGTAAAATAAATTTCTAGAAAGCTGAAGACACTGTTGCATTTGACTTGTGTTTAGTGCCGTTAGATGCCTTGTGTCTTAGTGACACCTTAGTGACACAAGTGCAGTGGTTATAGTTTTTTTGGCAGGGGGATCAATTTGAAGCACTTGTTGCATATGCTGTATTTTCTAAACCAGGGTTAATAACATCTCATTTAATGTCTTTTACAGAGAGGAACCTCAATCCCAAAGCAGCCTGCCTTAAAAGAAGGGAAGAAGAAAAAGTTTCTGCCGTATCGGCAGAACCTCAAAACACACATCCAGGGACTCATCCTGGACTTACTGATACTACCAACCCTATGGGTCATATGTAAACCATCAGCCAGGTAAGCAGACAATTGAGGCTTAGTACCTTGCTTGCTTTAAAACCCTTGGTATCAGGCTGTCTATAGAAAAGGCTTTCTGGTTTGTTTGGACTCTCTAATAACTGTTATATTAAGTTTTTATGATAGTTTTTCCTGGTTTCCCTGGCACATAGATTTAAAAAAAATGGCTTTAGCTTTAGAACACATTAAATTAGAAAAAAAGACAGTACTTGTCAACTAGCAACTAGTCAACTAGCAACTAGGTCAGCACAGGCTTCCCTCAAGAGATGATTTTTGATGATCGCCTAAAGGAAAACAGAGTAGGAGATGGCCAGACAGGTTGGGGTAAGGCGTTCTAGATGGGAGAGACTCTAGAGATGTCCTGGAGGTGAGCATGGGAGAAGTTGATGTGGAAGCTAGAGAGCAGGAGGTCTTGGGAGGAGCTGAGAGGACAGTTGGGGTGATTCTTTGAGACAAGGTTTGATATATAGCTGGGGGCAGAGTTGTGGATGGCTTTGTAAGTGGTTGTTAATATTTTGGATTTTATTCTTTGGGCAATTGGAAGCCAGTGGAGGGATTGGCAGAGATAGGTTGTAGACAGAGTGGTTGAGTCTGCAACAGCATTCGTGTTAGACTGAAGGAGGGATAGCATTTGTAGAGGTGGGCAATGAGGAAGGAGTTGCAATAATCATGATGAGAGATAAGTGGGTGAATGAGTATTTTTGTGGTTTCATTGGTTAGGAAGGGGCATGTTTTGGTGGTGATATTGAGGTGATTGCGTATACACCCACACTGAATTCTAAGATTTTTAAGTATCAGTACATAGAAAAAAAATCTGGCCCTTAGCAGGCCTTAAAATTGGGTACATACAATCTCATATGAATAACAACACATGCCATATTACAAAATGCTGACAGAATGTGTGCCAGCCCATTGCAGAAGCACATTTTTGCAGCTTATCAAGTTGGGTGTGTTTCCTGGTTATGATGCCACTACAGGTTTTAAACCTGGGTGACTGGCTTATAGTTAGCTTGGGTGTAAGCAAATGTATCATGAAGCTAGAGCTCAGACAGGCCTGGAGGATCTCCATTCCATTGTGCAACAAGCTTTGTTAGTTGTTTCCTATTTTTATATAAAGGATTTTTGTTAGTGGTTAGTCAGGGCTGAGATCTGTTTTGTCCGTGTTTTATCTAGCAGAATTTATTCTAGTTTTTTTGGGACCTTCCTTGTGCTCCAAAATCTTCATGAAACTGTTTAACTGTCATAACTTTTTTTTAAACTTTTATTCTTGTCGTGGCCATGTTTTTAGTTCTTTTGTTGTGAAAATTCTGGTTGCTCTTTGCCATCAACTCTAATTCCCATACCTCTCTTATAACAAGCTTATGTTCAGTATTTATGAAGCTTTAGTGAAAAATGACCTTACATATCATTGTGATCTCTTGAGGAAGTTGCTTTTTGTATCAATTTTTTTGTGTTATAACGGGATTGGATTTTTTTCTGTTTTTTAATTGGAATATTTAAGTAAATGGTTAAACTACTACAATTAGGTTAAAAAGTAACTTTTTGTTTGTTTACAAACACTTGTACTGATCTTTTCTTTATTTTTTTTCTTCTTCTTTTAGGACTCCCACACTATGGATAGGATATATAGAAGGTGTTCTTTTCATCACAAGGACACAAAACTAGCATATTGACGACACAAATCTGACAGGATAAGGAGAAAATTAAGAAATGGGGGGACTTGAATCAAGATGCCCAACACGCAATCTGATGATGAAAGCAAATGTGGAACATCTGCATCAGAAGTTGAAATCTGCTCATATTCAGCCCACATGTGAACATATCTTACTGTTTCAGTGTGTCGTTCTTGCACAATCAGACTGTCCTATCTCCACACAACGTGGAAACTGCCTTGTGCCTAAACTGAATTGACAAATGCATTGTATCTATAAATTTTATTTATTACGGAGCTGTTGTAAAGGTCTACATATAAAAAAGGGAAAAGTTGGGCTGAAAGTGGTAAAGATTTCAGTTGATGCCAGCATTTGTTAGATCTGTTCTCATATAGAGAATACAAAGATTGGCAACCTGTGACCCTTTAGCATTCCCAGCATACCTATTAGTGTCTTAAAGAAGGAAGGGAAATGGCTTTTTCTGTCATTTCCACTCCTTTTGCCATATACATAGTGTTTTCCTTCTACAGGAAAATATTCCTTGGTATAGCTTTCTTTTTTTCTTTTTTCTCCTTTTTTTTTTTTTTTAATTCTCTGGTAATCTGAACAGTTATGGTCATAGGTAGCCTCCGAGACCAAGCTCCATACTTTGACTAATTTACTTTCCTAAAGAAAATTAAGACTGGAGCAGTGCTGTGACCTAGTGATTTTCCATTGTGTTTTTCTGGAATATTTGTTGATAAATTTAAAACAACCTTAAACTTCACGATAAAACAGAACTGTAATCTGAAGGGGTTAGTGTAACATATCAGACCATCTTCTTGTCTCATGCAGTACCTTCTACCTGTAGGACACTAAGTACAAAGTACAGACATGAAATGAAACCTAAGAGCAATGGTCACCACTCAAAACATGCTATAATTAAAACATTCTAAGAACGAATAGAATGTAATTAACAAAAAAAAGCCAGCCATTTTAGTGGAATCCCTGGTCCACTATGATGTGATATATTTTCAATCTGTATCAGTCCCTTCCAAACTTCCATGTATACAGTCTTCCGCTGCAGTGGTCATGAAGAAGAGAAATAAAAACTGGATCCTGGTTTGAACAAAAAATTTCCATCTAACAGAAAACTGCACAGAACAAAATATTTTTTCTTTTTGATGGGAAAACATATTTTATTTGTCCCTTACAACATGGTTAATGTAAAGTTATTGAATATAACCTTTTGTTTATATTTGCATCTGTAATCATGGGACTAGATCTGTGGCCTTGTTCTTTATTTCAGTATTTATCATCTAAACAGACATTTTTGCTTTTGAAATGTGAGAGTGGATCACGTGCCATTGCCTGGCCTTTTTTCTTCTTCTTCTTCGCCTCTTTTTTCCTCCTCCTTTTTTTTTTCTTTCCTTTTTTTAATTTTTGTTTTTGCTATGTTAGACTTTGCAGTATGCCCAGAAGCTTTCCTTCATAAAATAGAAAGAAAAAAACATTTGGCTTATTTTTCACTGTAGTTAGTCTTTTATACAATAATCTTGTAAGAAAATTTCTTGAATTCTAAATATTACTCTTTCTAGATTTTTGAAATCGAAAAAGTTTTCAGTAAAAAGTTTCTTACTTTATTTTACTATATTAGGTAGTAAAAATGTAGGGTTATTTACCATAACCTGTTCATTAATATCAAAAATTTACAATAGCATTTTAAGAACATAGTAGGGTCCTAGCATACCGTGTAGTACCTATGGAGTATTGTAAGAGCTACTTGTCCAAGATGAATTGCTGATCATCTTGTTCTACAGTTTTCATTGTTGGTCTATTGCAGATTTGTACCCTGTGTCAAATTCAACGTATTGTTGATAACTTTCAACCAGCAGCAAGAAGTTCAAATTTTTTTCTGTCAGTGTAACAGAAACACAATATGTATATAACATTTATGTAGCAATAAATGTGCCATCTTTTTTAAATTTGGTTTATTGGAATTTTTATTTTACTTTACCAGAGTTTTTTTATCTTTTCCATCTGTTAAAGGATAATTAAAGGATCTGATTAGCATAATTGCACTTTCAAATGGTCAAAGCTCAATTGGCTCCCATTGCTCTCTTCATAAATATATCCCCCTCCCTTAGGCAACATGAACATCAAATAACCCTGAGGCAGGACTGGCTAATGTGGAAGGGCAACACGTATGTTATGAAGAGGCAACCTGTCCTAAAACCAGATCTCAGCGTTGAACAATTACTTAACAGTATATGAGCAAAACTGACTAAGCTTGTTGCATCACTATAGAACAGATTTCTGCCCTCCCCCTATCCAGTGAGAGCGCCTTTATTTTCTTCAGGGGCATTCTGATTGGACACCGGAATGGTGCAAAGCAATTAGCCCCAAAGACAGGCAAAGTGAAACTGGAATGCAAAGGATGCACAGCAGAGGCTATTCTGACTGACATAGGTTACAGCAATAACTTGTGATGCCTGGTATTAGGGCAGGACTTTAACCTTAAAAGCAAACCTGTAAGTCATTTTAAATGTCCAGGGACCTATCCAAAATGTGACTTTCCCTAGACCACAGGGAAAGTTGGGAGATGAGCATACCTCTCAGCATTATACATTGTAAGAATCTGGAATGCTTTGTTTAGTCCACTTTTATTAATATAATCCTTTCAGGATGCTGAAATGTGAGACCATTTCTGAACATGCTAGTTATCTTGAAAAGGCCTCTTTCGTAAAGAATATCTGAAAACAAAAATGTAATTAGGGATGCACCGATACTGATACTAGTATCACTATTGGTGCCGATACCGAGTATTTGTGTGGGTACTCGTACTCGCCCAAATACTCCGATACCTTCCCTGATACCGGAACTTAGGCAATCAGGACGCAAGGTGGCGAGTAGTGAACCCGCCTCCCGAATCCTGATTGACTGGGAAGGCTCATTGCTGATTGGCTGGGAAGCCAGCTTCCTGCCCAATCAGGTAGCCAGGAGGTGGGTCATTGCTCGCCGCCTGGCTTCCTGATTGGCTGGGAAGCTGGTTTCCCAGCCAGTCACAATTCAACCGGCCAAATAACATGGAGCCAGCTTTCCTGGCAATCAGGAACCTGGGCAGCATGTCATTACATGCCGCCAGCTTACTGATGGGCAGTGAAGCCGGTTCCATGCCAGCGGAAGCACCGGTATCTGTACTCTATATCGGTGAGTACCAAAAGCAAAATATCGGTACTCGATACCGAAAAACCGGTATCGGTGCATCCCTAAATGTAATATATTGCAGCTTACCAGTCCTTACTGGTGGCTGCATTAGTTTTGTTTCCCAGACTATGTACATTGCAGCAAGTACAGAAACATACCAGTTTATCTTGCCAGAATTCCAGTGTCCTTGAAACTTCCTATGCACTGAACTGACATTTCAAACATTGTTATTCGCTTTCCCAGCTTTTGCCTGTGAACTACAAAAGAACACCCTCCCTCCCCATGTAGTGGAGTGGAATACAGGAGCACGGCGCCTAGGGTAACAACTCTGCTCCATCCATAAATACAGTTCAGTGAATAAGTATTGCCACCCTACGACAGGAAGTGTATTTTGGCAGGATCACCTGGCAAAAATAAAGGGATAAGAATTAAAAATAAAACCAAGGCATCCACAGCATCGAAGAACTGATAGAAGAACTGGATAGTATCAGCAACCCAGATAACAAGTATGTAGTTGAGGACTTCTGACTTTGACTTTCCTTATCTGCATTCCTATCCTGGTTTGGTGACTCAAAGCATGGAAACCAGTCGGTTAGATCTTAATCTGCAGTGGCAGCATGCTTATTTATCTCATGACAGGTTTACTTTGACAGAAGCAATTTGTTCTCCTATTCCAGGGAAATCATTTTATAGAGCAGCCCTTTTAAAATAGCCCCTAAAGAGACTCTTGAAATGTATGAAGTTCAGACACAGAGGTTTTATACCTGCGCCTTCTTTGCCTAATGCCAGGCTGTACTGATCTAGTAGTACAGAAGCTTGTCTGCAACTTCCTGCACCCCGTGCATTCCTATTGTGTAGTAAGCCAACCCATTACAGCGATGGACTGATAGGAATGAGGGGAAATCTACCCATAAGTGTCAGAGCTTTACCTATTAGCACAAGGTTCAGGTGAAGCAGTGGTTACTGAAATTTGCTTCATGTATGTGCAGGCACCTCCGAGTCTCTTGCTAAAGTTGAAATTCAACATGGTGGTCTAAATTATTTACAAATAAAACTGAAAAGACTTTATTGAATTAGTATTAACCCATTTAGTGAAATACTTAAATACCTTCCAGTATAACAAATTGGCTTCAGCAGTTACATAAGTAATTCAATCAAGTCCACCAAAGAGAATAAATATACCTATTTCTGGAATATCCCAGATTTTGTTAGAGAACATATTCAAGCAAGCAGTTACCAAAAATCACCCAGTTTTTCAAAGGTATTACTGTGTGAACCTTTGTCGCACCTTTGTAGTCTGTGTTCATTTTGTTTCCCATGATGTCCTGTCCATATGATACATAAGGAAATCTCGGTTAGGGATCATCAACAAAACCTCCCCAATTTACCAATACAAGTGATTTACTACTGTGTCCATGTTGGAGACATTCTCCTCACTTGTCCCAGTGACCACAAGTGAAGGGAAATCTCCTTAATGGAGTCTCAGAAAGAGGTTTTGAGTAAAATATGTCTTAAGCCCCAACAAGATTTAGTTGTCATGAGAGATACCTGAATGTACTGCATCACTTTTAGCTCTCAGGGTTCATGTGTTGGAGGGAAATCTGAAGGATCATTTTAGGTTAAAGCGAAATGTGTGCATTCCCACCACACATCGTACCCACAGCAGTATGCACAGTCTTCCATCCTTACTATGTTGTCTAGCAGCTCCCTCCATGCGTACTATGTTTTCATTCAGTCCCCACTAAGTTTTCTGGCACCTTTCCTCCTGTTCTCGGTTACAAAGCAGAGACTGAGGCAGTATAGGGCCCTCAGCAAGGTAGCATCTGCACACGTTCCCCATCTCTTTAATATTGATAAGGATTGCAGTAGGCTAAGAGAAGCTTACCCATTTACATTGTCTGTCCTGGAATGGTCCACCCCAGCAGATATCAACTGTCTACAAGTGCAACTTTCCTTGTGAAGCGACAGGCAGATGCACATCTTTGTCCAATTACACTATCCCCCTGATTTACTGCAAGAGCATGAATGTTGTCGGTTTGGTGCCCTGGACATTTTGCGGGTCCCAGACTCCTTCCAATGTTGTCTTGTGAATGATCTAAATCTGCTTCCATGATTTATTCTCTGGCAACCCCCCCCCCCAGGCCACACTGAATGTTCTGGCATCTTTCCCCCACTGTCTGCACTGCATTTTATTACAGCTCTGCTCTCACTGTTCCTAGCAGCCTCTTTGCTACTGTCTGTATTGCTGCCCAACCTCTCCATAATACCATCTGCTGTAATCAGCACTCTCTCTGTTCCCCTGTGCTCCATATGGTACCTCAACTCGGGGCCCTGTGGCTGTTATCTTCTCAAAAGCTTTTTGTTTTCCAGTGTCTGGCATTCTGTGCTTCCCATTCTCCACTATGCTTCACTTTCCATGATATGTTGTCTTAGAACACTATATCCTGACTGCCAGAACACTATATCCTGACTGGAGACAATCTCCTAAACACATTGAATACCACTTGACATTCCATGCATATGAGACCTGCATATGGTAAGCCCTTGCTCTTCCCACTTAGCTCTACCTCTTTTGCCAATTATGCCCCCTTGTCAAAAGTGTGTCATGTATGGTTCACACAGCTGCAACACAACTTCACACATCAGGAGAAAGGGTATGAAATTGCC